CTGTGCTGACATCTAGAAATGTTCTAACTGTATTTCCAGAAAGAAAGAAGTGAAATTACTGAGTTTGGTAATATTTTATTATTAGTGTTTGTTGGGAGGCCTCACTTCCTTAAACTAGACTTTCTTAAATAGAGAAACGGTTTCATCATCTTTCACAGGAACATCTCGTTGGCTCGTGTCACTGTTTTCATTAAGGAGTGTGTGGATGATCAGGTCACACGTGGGCGACTCAGTGGGTGACAGAATATGTCACAACACCCTGGAGCTTGCTCCTCCCTTGTGTGTACACTGTCAACATTGACACCTGTTATTTGCAAAAACAAAATCTAAAATTGTTTCAGGTTAATTTTCTGCAAACATTCGTTTGCACCTTCAGAGCTCTGTGCATTATTATTTCTCTCTCAAAGACCATTACCAACCACCGATGCAGGCCCTGCAGCAAGACCTGCCCTCAAACACAATGGCTTTGCCATCACTTACCTTAAAGTGCCAATCATTTTTACATGCACAGTTGGGTAAAGGGGGATTCTGTAGGTAGCTGGGTGGCTATAAGTGTCATTTCATCACATGCTGTGTGGGTGGCTGGACATAACTGTGTCTGTGGTGCATTCAGACCCCCTGTGAACAGATCTGTCCTTCCTGCTCAGGGCTGAATACTTTGATTCAATCCCCAGATCTGGAACCTGTAGCTCTTCATTACTTTTTCCAAAAAATATTTAAAAGTTAGAGGAAATATTTTAAATCTAAAATGTAAAGAGTTTTGTTCTAGCTTTTTTTCCTTTGTTTTTTAAGATATATTTGCAAAATTTTTCACCAGTGACTGGATCCAGAAACCCTCCTATTTAATTCATTCTTTAATTTTTTTTTTTTTTCATCAGGTTGTAAATTACATGTTCTTTATTTTTCCCAAACATAGTTCCAAATATTTAACTGTTATTTTTTTAATTCTCAATTGTTACAATTAATTTACTTTTTTGCAAAAGCAACACATTTGGAAATCTTCTTTAACTATAAATAAATTGTAGAGTAGATGTTCATAAACTGGATTCATACTGCAGTATGTAGCTCTGCTGCTTTGCAGCAATATGGTCCCGGGTTCAAACACCATGCATGGGGTTTGCACACTCTCCCCATCCATGTTTTCAGGTTTCTCTACATATTCCAGCTTCCTCCTAAACATTTCCAAACCTTTAGGTTGATCAGTGACTCTGAAATACCCATATGTGTGTTTCTATGACCAGTACAGTGTGGAAAGGAGCTCATAACACTAAAAAGAAGCTTAACACTATTCTTTGTCTTCTTGAAATTAAAGCTATACATTGGTTTCAACATCTGAATAACGTGGTGTCCACTCAATACTTTGTAAAACCACCTTCCATTTACAACTACAGCTGTTTTGGACTACGTCTCTACCAGCTTTTAACGTCCAGTCGGGGAGCCTCCTCCCATATTTTTGCAAAACAACTTGATCAGATTCAATAAACAGTGTCTGTAAGCCTCGGTTGAATTTGACTAGATCTTTGTAAAAAGGTTAGATTTTTTTTTTTCTTAAGTCAAATAAAACTGTGTGTCACTACTGCTTGAAATCTAAAAGAAACATGTGGCTGTAAGGAGGAAAAAGGCTGGGAACATTAAAGGTTTGTGACCGACTGCATCAATGATGTTCTTTGTCAATCAGTGTTAACACACTGTTAAATCGTATACATTCATATCTATTGGACTCCTGTCTTATGTGTAATCTGAGGAGCTTTTCTGATTAGTTTGATCTGGAGCTGTGGGCTGGGGTCAGAATCCTGGTCAGTATCTAATGGTCTCTCTCAAAGAAGAGCAGGCCTCCTGGGGGAACAACTGAGTGTCACAATTGGCTCTATATATTTCCATTCATTCTGTGCTGTGATCAGGTCAATGCATCCTTTGCTTTCTTAGTATTACCTTGGCCGTTAAGTCTGATGTTTCTTTTTCCTTCAAGGACAAATGTGGTGTAGGAGAAGGCAGATCCCATGTGCCCTCCCTGAGCCCTCGCTAAGCAGCAGATCCCTTTTCAGCGCCAGCTGTTCTCTCAGATACACCAGGCTGTGCTGAAATTCTCTTAATATAATTCTCGGGGCTCAGGAGAATAGTGCAAAACAAGCGTGCCAACGAGGAGAGCGTTGAATTTTTCATAAGTGGGCTTCAGGCTCGCTGAGTTAGTGGGCAGCGCTCTCATTCATGAGCAGATGTTCAGCGCAGTTACACTCTGCAGTTAATGTGAACTTACTGGCCTCTCCGCCATTGGCTGCAAGGACGTTGGCAGCAATCTGACATCTGAGAATTACTCCCAGTAAAAAGACGCAGGCCTGGAAAGCATTGCTCCGGCCTTTTGTAGCCACTTCCCAGCCCAGGAGCTGGATCCTGGATGGAGGGGGGGAAACCACTGACAGCCCATCCGTCTTCAGGTCGACAGTGATGAAACACTTGCTACTGTTTGCTGTGGGAATAGGGATGAAATTCCTGCAAAATAAGATACTTTACATGAGTTTAACATTCACTACTAATAACTGGTCAGAGCAGCACCACTCAGCAGGTGAAATATGGAGGCTCACGCATCCCTTTCTAGAACCAAGCAAACCCTAAGCTGAGGAATTATTGCATTACCCTTGAAAGAGGAAATTCATAGAAGCAAAGCACCTGTGAGGGGGTAACGGTTTGGCCCTGAGCTGAAGCCAGCTGGTACTGTGGTCAGCCTCCCCAGCCTGGTGCTTCAGACATCTGCATGGCCAGACTGCCCAGCCGCAGTTTGATGTGGCCATGCAGATCTTTAATAGTTTCCTCCTAACTAGGTACAAGGCCGTTTGATTTCAGAGCGTACGTGACATCAGGATTAGCAGGCGACATGCCAATCATCCTGAGTTTGTGTGAAAGTCATCACAGCGAAGTTGTACATGTGGGACTTAAAGTGAGCAAATGACAAGCTCTTGTTTCCTCTGCACATCTCATTTTCACTTTCTAATTGGTCGTTTTCAGGTTGGCTTTACGAGAGCAAAACTAATTAGTGTTTCTATATTCAGCAGAAAAAAAAAAAAGAAGCCGGCTAGCGTGATTGTTCTGGTTTCCTCTGCGGTGTCAGGCACTCAACAAGAAAATAAGACTAATCATTTTCAAAATTGCTCATATATTTAAAGCTGGGAGCTGAGTGTAGCTCCTGTTCTCCTGACATTTAGTTTGGCAGGATCAGGGAGCAGCGGCTGCCCTCTCGCCTGTGTACTCTCTTTGTAATTTCATGGGAAGTTTAGACTCGGGTGCTGGTGGAAAAAAAAACAACAATGCGTTATGTTTTAGGTGGGGTTATTTCTGCTTTGATTAGGGAGGTCCTGCTGACAGGACTAGCCCGGCAAGTTTACAGTAGCTGTGACATTGCTGTTACCTTTATTCAAAGCGCTCCAGCTGCAGCGAGCCCTCAGGAAGCCAAGCGCAGGCCCACATGGGCGGCCGGCGGCCCACGGAGAGGGGAGCAGGCCCTGTTTGGGTTGGCAGACGCTCCCCTCTCGGGGAACTTTTGCTGCCTCTGCAGAAAGGCCAGTGGCGTCGGCTGTGGTGGGGCGGCGGTGATTCAGGGGGCAGGATGGGCCTTTTCCACCTCTCCTCCCTTTCAGGAAACACATTTTGCTGTATATTCCCTGTGTGTTTTCAACCGGAGGAAAGGAGTTAAGTTGAAGGGGCGCGGGGCGCTGAATGACAAAGCTCAGCTGGGACAGGCTAACATTTGATAAATGTCATAAGGCAGCTACCAGTCTTTGCTTTAAGCATAGAACGGACCCGGGTGAGAGTAAAAACATGGCGTATTTAAAAAACACATGCAAGTGTCTAACAGGATGGACTCTCTTATATAAATCAGATCAGAGTTATTTTAACTGCAGATGGAGATGCTCTGACCTGCAGATTCCTGCTTTTCTTTAAGAACTATAAATAACACTTTTTTATTTTTTTACTTTATGGATGAACAGAAACCTTTTCTGACTTTTTCGGGGGGGTTTTATGTTGAATTTATAATTTACTGAGGATCAGACCATTCGATAAATCATTAGGGTCTGCCAAAGGGGAAATGGACTGATATCTATCAGCAGCTGATGTTTTTGGTGCATTTTTTTTAATTCTATTTAAAATAATGTTAAATTTAAATGTCATTTATTGCTATATAAAATGTGTTTATTGGAGCCAAAATAATAATATTTGTGCTTTTTATGGTGTAAAGCTGGGAGCTGATAATGTTATATTATCTGCCTGGAGGGGTTGATGCTTTAGTTTCTATTTCTCTCCTTTTCTTTTTTTAGAAACTTGAATTTTGTGCACTTGTTAGAAATAATGTTAAACCAGCTGGCTAGCAGTGTGTGTGTGGTGGTGGGGGGTGCTGCTGCTGCCCTTTGCTTCATTTAACCAGAGAAACACAATGATACATTTTTTAAAGTTTGATTTTTAACACCCTTCGTTCTGTACCTTGATGCCGAAGGAAACATAGGAAGTTTTATTTTCCCATCGGTGCTGTGGGATTTAATGTTGGTAATTAAGACCTACTTGATCTAATGTTAGGGAGGAGCTGGGTTTAAAATCAATTAGAGCAATTATCTAATGAAACGGGACCGGGCTCCAGTTGTTGGACTGTGTCATTATTTTTCTCATCTGGGGAATTCTTGTTTGAGATGCTAAATCTGTACCTCCAGATATTCAACGGCGAGCCGAGGGAGTGAATGTTAATTTGAAAGTGACCTGTTTAGTTTCCCTTTTCTTCTTCCCTCGTACTTAACTCAGACATCAGGGATGATACGGTCGGTATTACTTAGTGAGCCAATTGTGGAAAAAAGTATGTGTTTGTTTTCTTTTTTCCCTTCTGTGGTTTCAACTAATTTCCACTGTTTTTTTTTTTCTCTTTTTCTGTTCCCCCACCCCTACCCCATATCCTGCTCTGGGCTCGCTTTCTTCCCTCCACTTCTCCATCTGCTGTCTCTGCTGATTGCCCCGACCAGCGAGGAGACTCCAGTGGTGACGTCCTGTGGAGCCTCAGATCAGAGTAAGTACCCAACACCTGAACACCAGCGCAGGAGCAGCTCCTGACATTCCTCCCCCTCCATCTTTGCAAAAAGTCGACATTACATGAAAATGTTTGTGGTTTTAATGCAGCAAGATGATAGGAAAGGTTTTGCATAGTAACCGACTGCTGGTTTCCTGATGCAGCTGTTGTCTGACATCAGGTCTGAATGCTGGATTTCTGCTGACAGTGACAGGGGCCGGTCGCTGGGAGCTGACGGTTAAAGGTTAACCATGAACCTGACGGGTACAGGAAAACTGCAGCTTGTGTGCCCGCTCATGTCTGCATCCCAGGACTATCCTAGAAGTCATTACTCCTTGTGTGGTGTATAAACACGTCAAAAACAAGCAATGACCCCGGGCAGTCTCCGCACAGCAAAACAATTTCAAAGCCGGCGGTGTAGTGTAAACACAAAACATGGCTAACCTTCACGCAGGGAAGACTTCACCTTAAACCTGCTGTTTGTTTTATTGTCCCGGCCGACCTTGCTCAGGTTTGGTTTCCATCTCTCCGGTTCTCTTCAGGTCGATGCAGCGCAGGTTCTGTGTTGACATTTAGGTTCTGTGCCGGCTTGTTTTGATTCAGTTTATTCTTTGCATGTACTTTAAATACAGCGCCATGCTGAAGTAGCTCATAGCACTTCAACTCTTTCACATCTTATCTCTGTTTACAGCCTCTCTGAAAGAAACTAGCTTTAGTTGATTAGGTAGGTATTGATGAAAACGGAAAGGTTTCAATTTCCTGATTTAATTCCTCTAATAAAAAAAAAAAGGATTGTTTTATTTTTGACTTTGAAATTTTTTTTTTTTTAGATTTACTGAGATCTCAATGGTTGCAATCTATTTTTACATTAAGAAAGCTTTCTTTAACAGCATTTTAGGCCGCACACTGCAAAAAAATGAAGTCTAAATAAGTCATTTCTTATTATAATAATTGCATTTTTTTATTGAGAAGGTAAGTGAGACACTTTGCCAATGGAATAAGACAATTTACATTAAAATAAGAAAAACCATTACATTGTCTTATTTCAAGCACATACTATCTGATTACCTTATTTTAAGGGTAAAAATACTCATTCCATTGCCAAATCATCTTATTTACCTACTCAGATTAAGGGTAAATATACTTAATTTCAGATCTTTTTACTTTTTCTAGATTGTTTTTGCAGTAGAGATTACCTTAGATCATGGAACCAGTGGCTGTTGACTGAATCTCAGCTGTGAAAATATGAAACTTAGTAAATATAATTTTTCAGGAAAGATGAAAATGGAGTTCTTTACCTCTCTGACCAATATGTTTTATCCTCATCATTGTTTTTTCTGCCTGACCTGATAAAAGATGATAATAAAATGCTACAAGGTAAATGTTTTTATTCCTCAGTTTAAAGTCATAAAGTCATTAAGGACATAAGACTGAAGTTTTAGGTGTATAACCTATTTCTTACTAATTATTTAAATGGATATAGATATGGATAAATTGTTTTATTTGGGGTTTCAAATTAAAAGGGTTGAACATATCATCCCGAACTTTAGATTGTGTTTAATTTTAAAGAAATCTCAGATTAACGGCTCCTCTCCTCTTCTTGGAGACAATATTATCACCTCTGTTACACATGGTAGTGGCAGTATTATGGTGCTTTTCCTCAGCAGGGGTAAAAGATAAAAAGAATCTGATGAGATTGGAAAATAAGACTGATGAAGATTATTAAACACTTGGTATTTCATTTACAGTAGGATCAGGTATATATTTCAGACTGTATTGCTGATAAATTAAGACAATGTTATTTTTTACTTCAGCTGTAAGCGACATTTCAGGTTTCTATTTCTAAGGACTCCTTCCACTTCACAATATGTCGTGTTGGTCTGTCCCCCTAAATCTCAGTCAAATATATTCAAGTTTGTGGTCGTGGCATTAAAATAAGCTCAGGCTGTGAAACTCTTTTTCAGGGCAAATTCTGACTGTTTGTAGCAAAGAGCTTTTCATCAGCATATTGCTGAATGCCATGCGTGATGGATGCCTTCTCATGTGTTCCTTTCACGTGTAGTAATGAACAGCCAGTCATATTTCTGTACTAGCTCCTTCACACTGAGGCCAGGGTCACCCTACACCAATGTGAACCTGTAGTTTTTAATAAAGCGCAGCTGCTGAATGATCAAATAGAGGATCTAATTAAGGCCCGAGTGTACACCCATGTAAAATTCTCTCCGGAATGCTAACAACCTGTGATATTTCCACAGGAATTTGCAGCACAGGTTTCCGAGAAGGGAGGGAGAAGCGTGTGTTTGGGGTTCAGAGGAAAAAAAAAAGAGAGAGATAAAGGAGGGGCAGCGTTCATGTGGCAAGCTAACATGTTGTTCACATCCATGTCAGATTGAGGCTAATGAAGGACAGACTTATCCTTGGATGCAATCCCTAAGCAAATGATCCCTCTTTGAATAAATTAGAGCGTCGAGGCTTCCCGCCGCGGCTGTACCTCGCTGCGTTGTCTTGTGGTCGGATGAGCCCGGTCGTAACGGCATTCACGCTGTTCGATCATGCCCTAAACCGTTTAGACAGGACTCCATTCGGTCCGACGTCACATGTTTGTGAGCAGCTGCACGCCGTGATCATTTCCAGGTCGATAAGGCTTCACCAGCAGTTTGATAGTAAACGGAAAATATGAGTGTCGTGTCATTTGACGATGTAAATGAGTGCTCTGAAGTTTTTCCCCACCCTCTGAAGAGGGATGGCATTTACATAACAGGCCGGGGTTTGATACTGATGCAGATGCTTCATGCAAACAAACAAGTGTTTCCTCATATTGGAGGTTTTTTTTCTTTTTTGTCTTTTTTTGTTTTTTATCAGAACGTTATGGTAATAAAAATATATTTTAATATCATTTGTGTATTCTTGTTAGAAATAAGGCACACAAAAAAAAAACCCTGCTCAACTTTTTACAAGTAATTTAAAGCTAGAGCAGTTCTTTGCATAGAAATGAATCCTAAACTTATAATTACATGGCACTCTGGAATATTTATTGCACGGACAAGGACACAGAGATGTAACCTCCTAACTTAGTGCACCATTCAGCTAATAAATACCTCTCTCCTTCTGTAGTGGCGGGCTTCTTCCTCTGACTGAATCAGTGTCGTTTTATTTTTGCTGATAAAGCATGTGTACTTCATAGATGGATGGATTGGATGTATCCAATTAGCCATGGTCATTGCTCGGGTTTTTAAGCTGACTGAGGAAATCTTGCTTAGATTATTACCTTAATTTTTGTAGGTTTTTTTAATGCTTTGAAAGCCCATAAAGCGCACACTGTGAAGAATGTACACTCGATACAGATTTGATTTACAACTGTAGCAAATCAGACAAAAGAGAGAAGTAATTGATTTTCAGCAGCAGGTAATGTAAAGGAACAGAGAAACCCTTATGGAGTGGTCATGTGACAAAGCCTTTTTTTCCCCCTTTTATTCCTTTCATGCTTTCCTTGTTTGACTTTTTGTAAGAGTTTCAATGTATCTTAGCTGGAGATGCACCGATCCATCAGGCCAGTTCTGAAATTGGTGGATTTTACCTTGAATGATTCTGATCGGGATCTGTGGGTAAGATCCTTAAAATGGGTTTTAAGTCATAAAGGCTTAATTCGTTCCTCTCCGTCTGCTGGACCGCAAAGCCTGCATCAGAACCTGGCTGGTAGCATAAGCCCCAATGTGGCACTACGCACTTATAGGGATAATTAAGCAACAAGGCAGAGGGTGGCGCCAAACACAGCAGATGAGAAGGAAGAAGAAAAACGAGCTATTCCTTTTTTTTTTTTCAGAAATATGTAGGTAGATCTGCCCCTTCTCAATTTGTATATTTTGTCTAATTGGGTCTAAATGGCTATAAAAACCCACATCTTCCAAACTTTTTTCTTTCACCTCGAGAGAGGATGTTCTGTGGAGAGCCATGATCAGCTAAGCTAAAATAGCAGGAATAGGAGCAGATTCTCTAGTATGTTCAGGCATTATGGGGATAAAGTTGTAATTCCTTTAATATAGGTTGAAATCATGATTAACATTTCTTTCAAAGAACCCGTAGCAGATCTTTGAAATCTCTGACATATTATTGGTCCAAAAAAGAAGAAAGAAATCTGGCTAATCAGACCAGGCCTCACAGGAAAAAACAGAAACTGGTTTTGCCATAAAAACCTGATCGGTTCATCTCCACTCACAGCAGATGATGCATTTTTAATACAGAGCTCCGACGCAACGTAGCCTTGATTCAGAGGAGCGATGGCTCGAGGCATTAACTGCACAGATGCGCATCGTGCCCACCCCACCTCCCCCTAGGCCCCTTGACCTTCCTACCATGCCGGCCAGTTTGTAAGCTGGAGCCCTGTTTGTAAACATGAAAGCAGGAATTGAGAGGCCCGCTTGCCCCGGTCTCGCTCGCCTCGCAGACAGGCACAACGCAACATGACAAGCAACAGATGTGTCACACACTCTGAAATCAAATCAGCCGTCCGGCATGGACTCATGCACACCATCGCACATGTTTTTGTGACGACGGGCAAGGGGGAGGCGGCGAGCGCGGCTGGCAGATGAGACAAGGCAGCAGCTCCACTGCTCCCAGCTTCCTGTCTGGAAAAGGACAGGCCTGTTTGTGGGCCGCTTTGACACTCCAGTCACTTTGTCATGTGGGTCTCTCGCTGCAGCTCTGATCATATGTACATATCGTATTCAAAGAGCGTCACATCAGCAGCATGACAGGTAGGCTCCCAATGAGACAACAGCCAGAGGGGATGTCCTTTTCAATACGTGTGCGAGTACAAATGCAACGAACGCTGAGACAAAATAACATCATTTGACATCACTCTGAACTGCTCTCTCCTTGTCTTTTTTTTTTTCTCAGCATGGAAAGAATTTTGTCACATAGTGTTGCTCTGTTTGGAAAGGAAGACGCTAAACTCCTGACCGCTCCCTTCCTCCATCCATTCCTTAGTATACAGTAACTAA